GAGGGGGTTGTTGCATTGCAAGCCATGCCCTGCATAAGCTGTATTTTTGGAGAGGATGAAACACCTCTGGAGAATCTGGGCTGGAACAGCTGACTTCATCCCAGTGGGACAGGCATGCCCAAATAGAGAGCCAAGTTGAGACAGCCTGTCTCCCTCCTCCCTCCCACGCCTTGCTCCTTCCTCTCTTCTGGGCCCTGCCATGACATACTGCAGGCAGGTGGGCTATTTTGAACGTTGGGTGTCAAGGCTGACTCCCGGCGCGTGCCTTTTCCGAAGATCACCTCCTGGGATTTACTGAAACGACAAAGAAGTCAGGTTCGGGCCTTGGAAAAGGGATGTTTGGGACTACAGCTTCCAGAATCCCCTGTCTGTCTAGCCTTTGGGAGTTGAAGTCCCTCCAAAAGTCACTTCCCCCACATCTAACAATTATCTGGATTTGACAGGGAAATTTCCAATTAATCCTCTGCTGTCCCACTTTTTCAGCTGCTCTGAAAATGTCCCACTTTCTCTCCACTCCTCTCACTTTCCCCTCTTCATCTTCAGCTTACTGCAGTTGCTGCAAACTGAGTTCCTGCCGTGGAAGTTAAAGTGGTGTCAAATTGCTTCTTTTTCTGCCGTGTGGCAGCAGCCTTGGCTCTTTTCGTGCCGCCTTCTACTTCACTAAGCATTACTGTCTTTTCTAGGGAGTCCTGTCTTCTCCTGGCATGTCCAAAGTACGACAGCTTCCACTTAGGGTGCATCCACACACTGCAGAAATGAAGCAGTTTGACACCACTGAATTGCCATGAGTTTCTGGGATTTGTAGTTCGGAGAGCGAGTTCCCTGTCAGAGAGCTCTGGTGCCGCACCAAGCGGTGGAAGTTAAAGGGTCATCAAACTGTTTGATGGGTTCCTTGGAATAATAATAATAATAATAATAATAATAATAATAATTCTGCCATGTGGCAGCAGTTTTAGCTACCTTGGCTTGGTTTGCTCTAGGACTCATTCATTTGTATTTTTAGCAGTCCAGGGTATCCTCCAAATGAGTTGATCTTCTTCCTATCGCCTTTCTTCACTCTCCAGCTTTCACAATCCATACAGAGAAATGGGAAATTGGATGGCATGGAAAACTCTGGCCTTGGTATTCAATGATACCCACTCCATGGTGGCTGCCACACTGCAGAATTAATGCAGGTTGACACCACTTTTACTCCATCCTTCCGAACCCCTTCTGAGCAAACCTTGCCGGGAAACCCCCGTGATATGACTCCTTAGGGTCGCCGTCGATTCGAAATGACTCAAAGGCACACAACCACTGGCATTTGTAAGTACGCTGCCTCTGGGCACAACAGAAGTTCTTTTTAGCTCTCCCAGTTATCAACCATGGGTCGACCTAACCGTTTGGGGTTTAGGCAATCCCATCCAAAGATAAAATCTTTGAAAGAAAGGAAATAAATTCCGAAGCCTTCTAAAGCTGCATGACATCACCGCATTTTGCAGGAGTGAGTTTGACATGTTTTCTGAAGCGTTGTGTAACCATGAAGCATCAGGGACGCCAACGTTGGGTGCAACCTGCCCAGGGCAATTGGCATCAAAGCATCATGCAATATTAGACAGTTGTTAAAAGAATGTTGTTGCATATGGCTTTTCCTTTTATTAAGAGTTAGTATTGCCTAGCACTGCGTTTGCCACCCCAGGTGTCCTCCGGACCACAACTCCCATGACTGGATGGGGAAGATGGACACAGTTGGAGGGCACCAGGGTGGGGAAGAATAATTTGCTACCGTGTGCCCTCAAGTTGTTTCCGACTTATGGCGACCCTAAGGTGATCCTATCATGGGGTTTTCTTGGCAAGATTTGTTCAGAGGAGGTTTGCCTTGGCTTTCCTCTGAGGCCGAGAGAGTGGGACTTGCCCAAGGTCACCCAGTGCGTTTCTGAGCTATATTTAAAAAAAACCAACAACCATAACCTAAACTAGAAAACCGTAACACAAAAATATGATAAAGAGAGCATAGTGAACTGAGATCAAAACCATCAGCAATGGGTAACACAACATGAAACATCAAGACCTAAAAACAGTACAACATAGGTTTTATAAATGCCTAGGACCATAGAAAGATCACTGTATAAGCCAGCATGGGGTAGTGGTTTGAACGTTGGACTGGCACTCTGGAGACCAGGGTTCGAATCCTGGCTCGGCCATGGAAACCCCCTGGGTGAGCTTGAGCAAGTCACACTCTCTCAGCCTCAGAGGATGGCACAGGCAACCCCCCTCTGAAGAAACTTGCCAAGAAAACCCCACAATAGGCTCGGCTTAGGGTCGCCATAAGTTGGAAATGACTTGAAGGCACACGACAACAGCAACAACAAGGCTTTCTGGAGATGGGATCCCACAAACAGGGTGCAGCCACTGAAAAGGCCCTGCCTTGCCTCCTTTAACCATGTGCCGAGCCTGAAACAACACACTCCATTTCGCAGTGGGACGGAAAGTGGGAGACAGGCAGGGCCAGACAGCGATGCCTAGTGGGCTTATGCATGCCAGGTCCTAGAGAGTGAGGAAGGGGAGCTTGGAATGTCTTCAGCAGTTCCTTGAAATAGCCCATGACCGTTTTAACATGCCCTATCCCAGCACCGGTTCTGGGTGGAGGGCTGACAAATGCAGATCCTATCTCAGGCGTACAAGCATCTATTTATGGTCCAGAGCGATAGCCAGCCGTCCAAGTGTG